TTTCAAGTCATCTTGTTGACTCGCTTAAGCTGGCCTGCATGTCGTTGGCATTGCTACAAATGCGGCTCGCATGGCTTAAGCTGAACGTCACGTAACCTCAACGTATCTGCTATATATACATATATGTATGTGTATGCACATATATCTATATATACCCTCAGTGTCTTCGGCATTCCATTGGTGGTATCCACAGTTAAGTGATTGCTGAAATGTATTTGCATAATTTCTACAGATTTTTCAATGCTTGTCTGAGCTGATGCTGCATCTACTGCTTGTTGGTGATGGTGATGGTGATGGTGATGCTGCTCCAGTCAAGCAGTTGAGTTATTCCTATCCTAACTCTCTTTCTCTCTCTCTCTCTCTCCTCTGTATATCTCTCGCTCTCGCTCTCACCTCTAGTTCACCTGGCACATGTGTTGGCGAACATGCCAGTTAAGCGTCGACACTTTTGCCTCAGTTTCATTTTTTCATTTTCCTCGCTGCCTCTCTCTCTCTCTATTTTTCCCGTTTCATTTTTATGGTTTTGCATATGCGAATATTTTATGCAGATTTATGTCAACTTTTCTCGCTACGTGTGCTGCTCCTGCTGCTGTTGCTGCTGCTGCAGGTTCTTTTGGACAGCCGCCAACGCAGTCAGCCAAGCCAGGCGAGCAGCAGTTACCACGTGCACTCATTGAATTAGTGTGAGGCAGTGCTGAAAAGTGTGTTGTAAAATGTTGTTAAATTTTCGGCATCAGTGTTTCGTGTTGACAGCGTAACACACGGCCAAACAACACAACAAAACAACTTGTTTTGCCCTACTCACAGCTCACAGCAGGCAGCAGGCAGCACGCAGCACGCAGCTGAGGGGGAGGAAACACTAAAGCAAGCATTTGCCTGTCCTCAGCTGTCGTTTGAGCCTGTTTCCTGTCGCGTCTGAACCTACATCGTAACGCTGTAACGACTCTGGGGACCAAGCATTACGTCCGGCCCCTAACCGTACGGCCGTCTGTCTGTCTGTCTGTTTGCTTGCCCGCCTGGGCATTGCCCATTTTTGTGCTTTCTTTAAATGCGCCGATCAACACTTGAAATGGGGTATATTGGTTGAGTGTCTGGCTTTGAAAAATGATAATGAAAATAATCTTGAAATAGTTTTAGAATCACTGTTATCTATAGGTGTTGAGAGTCATGGAATTTGAATAGAAGGGAAACCTGAGGCTCTTTCTATAATACCAACACCAACCTTAGCTTTGTAACCAGTAACCTTAGCTTTGTAGAGTATCACTCGGTCGTCTATTTATAGTCCAGCTGCATATTTATTTGTCTTGCTTTGCTTTTCTTTCTTTTTTTAATGAAAAGAAAACTTATCTTCAACTTTATGATGATTTGAAAGCAACAACAACTTGTCACACAGAACTAGAAAGGAGAGAGTGTGAGACAGAGAGAACGAGAGATAGAGAGACATAGAACGAGAAGGAGTGAGAATGTTTTTCCCACTTCACTTGTCGTACATATTTCTCTGCTTTTTTTTTCTCGTTCGTATATATTTTTCTTTTTCTTACTTGACTCCTATTTGTGTTTTTCTGCCTTTGCTGTTGTTGTTGTTGTTGTTGTGTGCGCGCTACTTTTTCATTTCCTTTGTGTCGCTCTATGCTTTTCCTTTTCCTACCTCGCTTCTCAGTCTCTCTCCCTCTCGCTTGCACTCTCTCGCTGTCTTGCTTTATCTCTGACTGCTACTTTGAGACATGTTTGCCAAGTCAGCTGTAGAGCGCGCCGCCCCCATCCTGAAGTAGGACAACACTTAATTTTGTGTAAGTACTCACTCAGCTCATTAGGCGTGCGCTGCTTCTACATCTCAGCTTCGCTTGGGGAAATTAAATTTCAACAGCAAAATGCTAAAGAAGTTGCCCAAACTGCAAATGTGTGTGTGGGAGTGTGAAGCCAAATGCGAATCCGTTTAGTTAGCCCAAGTGGAGCCATCAATCAGCAGCAGCAGCCGCAACTGACAGAGGAAATGAATCTACAGAGAGCGCAAGAGTTGCCTCAGTTTATGGATGCACGCACGCACGCACTCACGCACGCAACTCAGTCCCTTCCTGCCCAAAACTATCTGCCACGCCTCCAGCCTTTAGCTCGGTTTAGCTCAGCTATAGCTCAGCTTGCCGCCTGCGGTCGCTGGAGCCAACTGCAGTTTTGTGGCTTGAATTATGGCAACCAACTGGCAACTGCCATATAGCGGGCATTACTAACGGTGCCCCAATCCAACTCTCCTTGGCTAAGCCTTTTTGTCAACCCTAGCTGTTGCCTGAATCCTTGTGGTCAGCAAAAAGTCACCGCACGCAAGCATTACATATGCGAAAAGCTTAAATGCAGCATTTTGACCCTTTTTGGTGCATGCATTTTAAATGTGCATATAGATGGATATATGTATGTATATATATACAGATTTCGCATCGTAATGTTGTCTAACTGTTGTCTAACTCAAATACAAACAATTTTCTTGTATACGCCAAAAAACAAAAAACAAAAAGTGGAGTCTTCGGCTACATGGCATATCATGCAAACTTTACTTAGTTCTCTGATTTCTTTTCATAGTTGCGAAGCAAATGCAAACAACTTAGATGTGAAAAGTTTAAATGCAGTGTTTAAACTTAGTTTGAGAATGTTTTGCAGCCATAAATAGACAGAGTTCGAGTATAAAAAGTTACTAAAAAAAATGAATAAAAATTAAAAAAACATTTGTATGTGATAATGATCTAAGAACCGTTTCACAACTCTTGTAAATGCCAAGCGTATTTAATAAACGATAAGTTGTAATACATTCGTCTCTCTCACACACCATCTCCCTTTTTTACTCTACCCATTCATCAAGTTCGCTATGGAACTGTAATAATCCCTTTTGAACTTTTGCATTCAGAGTTTCTGGCTCAGCAGAGAGCAGCTTGAACTGCAACTGTGGCGATTCGCCTAGGGATTGGCTTAACTTTAATACCTTTCAGCGTTTTTCAACACTGTTGCACAGCGGTGGGAGTTGATGGTGTGCAACAAAAACCACTTTAAATAATTACAATGCACAAATACAAAAAAAAGAATGAAAACAAAAAAACACACACCACAATATGGAAAATATGTAAATATGAAAGCGTCCCACACACACACACACACGCAGACAGAGAGATACCCACACATTGCACTTAAATTAGAAGTGAAAACAACAACAATAAAAAATGGCGGAATAATAATAAATTTCAGGCCAGAGGTCCAGCAAGAAGCGCCACGATTCAGGGAGCAGAGCCAAGACAATAATATCTATGTCAGAGCTGCCAACAACAAGAGCAACAACAGCAACAACAAGAGCAACCACCGTAACCACAACAACAATGGGCCACGCCCCTTGCCCCCGTTCGCATTGTGTGGGCAAGCAGCCAGGTAAAACTCAGCTCAAAAACTTTAATCTCTATGTAATATTTTTCATAAACTCGACGCGCGCAGGCCAAAAGGGGGCGTGTCACAGTGCTGGCCACATATTTAATGCTAAAAGTTGTTGAAGTGGCAAGAGGCGCAGGCAGGAGACGCGGCCATGCACTGAGGGAAAAATCTTAAGTACTTCGCAGACAGAGAAATTGAGAATAATTGAGAGGATTTTTATATTAGCTCAGATTGAAGTTGAAATAATTTATTTTATAGTCCATTGAATACAACTAATTTCCAAAGCAAATACTAATGGGAACGTTTAGTCTAATTAGAAATGAAAAACACAATCAAAGTACAAATCAAATTGAAAATCTCAAGTGAATTTAAATTTTCGTCCACTTTCAATTACATTTTGGAATTAATTGAAGTGCAACTCCATTAGGTTTTCGCTGAGTGTAGCTATAGGAGCAGTCGGAGCAGCAATTGGAGCATGTGAAGCACATCCGAGTGGGTTGCCTGCTGGCTGGTGCAGCTGAATGGTAACTCTTTTTTTTTTTGTTCAAAAGAAGAAGAGTCAAAGGAGGTCAGCTTGTGGCTGGGTAACAATGGTTAAAAAGCCAGCTTAAACGGACGCGTAGATAAGCTGATGCTGCTCCTGCTGTTGCTTCAGAAGAACAGTAAGAAGAGGGAGGGTGGGGGAGTATTGATATATGTAGCTGGCGTAAAGCTTTGCCAATTAAACGCAAGGATTAGGCAAATCGAATCAGCTGCAGTGCAGCCAATTGTAATTGACAGGCGTGGGCGTGGCTACACACACATCACACACACCAACACACCCACACACACACACTCGCATGCTGTATAATAACAGATATAGAGGCACGAGGATGGCATAGGGTAGACGTTGCCTTTTGTCTGCTTTGGCATCTTCAGCATGTGTGAAAGGCGACGCCCAGAGGATGAAGACAATGCAAGCGCAGCTGTGCAGCTGCCGGTTATAACTTTGTGGTGTGTCGTTGCATGAAAAATGGCACTTGATAAGGGCGAGGTGTGGCGGCGGGGAGACGGGCAAAGGACTTTGCCTGGTTAGCTGCTGGAGTCAGCCTGTCAAGCAGGAAGTGTGAAGGAGCAGCAGCTGGAGCTGGAGCTGGAGCTGGAGCTGGAGCAGGAGCAGGAGCTTGGCTAAACAACAGTGCTGATGAGTGGAAGCTGTTTTGCCCCGCGGGCTGCCATTTGTCTACCCAATGCACCCAACTGCTACTGCTGCTGCTGCTCCCGCTCTCTGCCGCCTTTAAACCGCTCCTGTGGCTCCTTTTTGCCCGCTGAGTAAATAGCAAAAGGCGCGTGTCGAGGATTTTGTGCGGGATTCCCAACTGGTTGGCTGTGGCTTATGAATGTAAGTAAGTGGCTCTTGGTTAGCTCGTTGTTGTTGTTGTTGCTGGCGCTGCTGCTGCTGCAGTTGCTGTTGCCTTTGCCACTTCCGCATCACGAAGGACCTGCTCCAGCTGCGTGACTGTCGCCAGCTGCATTTGTCCACTGTCGTGTCCTAATTTGAACACGTTTCGTACCCAATGGCCACAGCGCAGCTAAACAAACAAACTAGCAAATAGCTCCGGGGAGCGGGGCGTGTTTGGGAACGGAGGCGTGGCGCATAATAAAAAGTGATTGCGGTCATTACGGATGTTGAAGACAACAATTGTGTTTATTTTGTAAGCCAGGTCAATTGGCTGAGTGAACCACAAATAAAACAAGTAAGAAAACTCTAGTCGAGAGTGCTCGACTAGATACTACCCT